ACACACACACACACACACACACACACACACACACACACACACACACCCGCTGTACTTTGGTTGACAGCAGAGCTTTCCTTGCCCGTCCAGGGCCCACCAGCCCCGTCCTGCTGCAGCTGGAGTAGTTGTTCCAAGATGTAAGGGGACCAGGGTGCCCTCCGCTCCTCGGGGCTTCAGTGGCTCCCCACAAACCTGTGGAAAGGAGGAAGGGGGAACCACGGCCTTCCACGCCTGCGGTACCCTACCTCTGCCCTGTTTCCCCTCCCTTAGACGGTCCTGGTCAGCCAGCGCTGCTTTCCTTTCCATGATCACCACCCTCGTGGCCTCTGTCTAGATTGCCGTGCCTTCTGATGGATGATGCCCCTTCATGTGCCAGGGTCATTCTGGTGGTTTAAGAGGACCCTTGTGTAGCTGGATGGGGTGGCGCACGCCTGTAATCTCAGTACTAGGAAGTCTGAGGCTGAGGCAGGAAGATCGCTGCGAGCTCGAGGCCAGGCTCAAACAAAAAAGACCCCTGGGGTCTCAGGGGTGGACGGGGGCGGCCCTTCCCGAGGTGGCCGCCAGGGGGCGGCGGGAGCGGCTTCGGGTGACAGCGGGAGGCCGGGGCGGGGGAGGGCAGAGGACTAGACGCACGGGTCCCGCTCCGGATCGCGGACTCTGAGCCGAAGCTGCGCGCCCAGACGCCGGCCGCCCGCGCAGCCCGACCGGATCCGGGCGCAGCAGAGCCCGCGCGGGGCGGGGAGGAGGCGGCAGGGGGCGGCCGTCCACGCGGCGGTGCTCGGGCCAGGGCACCTGGAACCACGCGGGGGCGACGCGCGGACCGCCAGGTGAGCAGAGCCGCACCCGCGTCCCCTGCGCCGGCCCGGCCCGGCGGCGCCCCTGGGTGGCCAGGGGACCGCGGGCGCGGCGGCTGTGTCGGGAACCCACGCCCCGGTGCGTGCCGTCGCTGCGCCCGCGTCTCCCCTCCTCCCCGGCTTTGAGCCTCGGTCACCACTCCAACCTCCACTCCCAAACTCTGGGGACAGGAGAGCTGGGCCGTCCCCGGGGTGGCCTGGCGCCCCCTGGGTCTCAGGGGGACCCGCGAGTGCACGAGCTGCCCATGCGCCCCTACCCCAGGCTCGGTCACCACTCCGTGATCCCCGCCCAGGGCCAGGCCACGCTGATTTCTAGCAAGGCTTGGATCCGGGTCAGCCTGAGCCAGGCGGCTGGAGCCCAGCGCCCCCGGAGCCAGGGCGGATGGATGAGCTGTGTCCGCCGGCTCCGGCTCTGGCTCCAGACGCTGCTTAGAGGGCGGCCCAGTACCTGAGGCCCTCCGCGCGCACTTAAGAGACCTAGCTTTTGCACCGCGAGCTCACCTGGCAGAGTTAGAGATCTGAAAGTTGATTTGCTTTTCTTTGAAATAACATCAGCCTTGACTTGGGAAGAGGATTTCAGGACGTTCTCGGGCCCGCTTAGCATCTGGAATTTATGGGTCTAGTCTGACCATTTAAGCAGTCCGCATCCAGGAGCACCGTTTGTTCAGCCTATTACAAGTGCTCGCTTATAGCTGTCTCTGTCTCCTTTGCGACCCCCACCACTCAGCCCCCGCCCCCCCCCCCCCCCATCTTTTCAGGCAGTAAATGAACTGAAGCCTGGACTTACGTAGCTGAGGTGAAGGATGCCTGTTGGAATTTGGAATGAGAGAAGGAGATGTCCAGAGAGGTCCAAGGAGTTGGCTTGTCTAACTCGAATTTCGCCCTTGAAGGCACCCAGGCACAAACAATTTAAAAGATTTTTTCCAAAGATCTCAGGGCTTTGAAAACCTACAGATATATTCTACTTCACTGATACACTTGAACTGAGCTTAATAGGAGGGCTGAGCTTAATTGGGTCTAACTGGGGCTCACATGTACAAAGTAGCAAACGTTTTATGAATGTGATTTAAATACAGTCCTACTCAATGCCTATAGATTTTTGTTGGCACCATAGTTGAATTCCTTTAGAAAACAAAATTCTAGTCCTGAAAATTAATGAGAGGAGGCAAATTGGAGTCCTGGGACTTTCCTATCTACCTCAGCAGGGCTGGAACAGGGATTTCCCAGAGGTCCTGGCCCGGGAAATACATTTGGGTGATCAGGGTACCGAGCCACTACTGAATAAGCACTGCCTTGGCCTCGTGGGGAGTGCTGGCTGGTGGAACTGTGTGATCTCCATGCCCAGCCCTGGACGGGGCACCAGTTTGGTCTTAATCTTCTTTTTAGTCTTGTATGCTATGAAGAAATGTTTCTAACTGGCTGTGTTTGGGAGAGAGTGAGGATGGAGATTTTTGACTTGAAATTTTTGGTTTTGCCTACAACTTCTTTGTGATTGCAATCAATTTTCCTAGAGAGAGGTTGTCCTCTGTCCTCTGCCCTCTGTCTTGCTCCCCAGGGCTCCACTCTTGTCCCAGTGCTGGGAGTCTCAAGCTTCCGGTGCCCCCAACCCCGATATCCCAGCCCCTTTGTGACCAGCTCATTTATCACCAAGTGCCATCCACATTGTTCTGTGATGTATCAAGGAACTGTTTCCCAGCCCCCACCTTAAACCGTGTCCAAATTACAGTAATAATCTCCCCTCTGACTCCCAGCCATGAGTTGCTTTCTTCATTTTAATCCATCTTCTTTCATGCTGACAGATTAATATTCCTAAAATTCTGATTTCACCACATCATCCCTTTCGAGATATCACAGTGGCTCCCCAGTCTCTGCTTCTATTTAATTTTTCTCCAGCAGATATTTTGGAACATCCGCTGCCTTACACTAGGAACCAGACACTACCACTGCCTGCAAGAAGCTGATAGGCTAGTGGATGATAAATGACCAGGGAGAAAAAGTAAAGAAACCACAAAACAATACAGGGCTGGGGGCAGGTGTGCAAAGCATCAAGGAGACACAAAGGAGGGAGAAGGTGATTCTGCATGGGAGGACCTAGGGCAATTACTGTTGGGCTTTGAAGCCCAAGGAGGAGTTCAAGGAAATGGGAGGGCTAGAAGGTAGTGGGAGGAGCTGCAGTAAAGACAGGAGGCAGAGGGTGACCCAACTCTTCCCTGCTGGATCCTTCATTCACTCCCTCATGGTCTCAGCTGCCTGCACTCTACAGCCCTGGCCCCCTCCCTGGCCATATCAGAAATTCAGATTTCCCCTCCGCTAATCCAAACATTGCATGGTACCATCTGCTAGCCTTCTAACCACGTCTGAATCAGAGTTAGGATCTGGTGAAAAGAATGCATGTTTTGGGGGAGGCAAGACCTGAGAACCGGCTTTCCTGTTTGGTTTTCTGTGATGAGGTTACCTCAGTCACCATCCTCCTACCTTGGCCTCCGAGGTGCTGAGGTTTCAGGCCTCTGGGACCACATCTAGCACGAGAATCAACATTTTTTTTTTTTTGGTACCGGGGATCAAACTCGGGACCTTGGGCTTGTGAGGCAGGTGGTGGAACCACTGAGCTAAATCCCCGGCCCCAGAATCAGCATTTCAAAGGCTGCCTAGAGGGAAGTCTGTGCTCTCAAATTCGAGGACCACTGCCCTAGGCAGCCTTGCCACTAGGTTCTAGCCACGGGTGGGGAGTTAATGTGCCTCCTCCTCACAGGGAGCCCCTTCCTTTTAACAAAGGCATTGGCCTTGACCCTGAGGGGTGGGCAGTGAACAACTGTGCCCAGGGCCAGGGGAAGAGCCCTTCTGGGCACAGGGGTTCATTTCTGAAAGCAAAGTACAGACCCTCACCCCACTTGAAGACATCTAAGCACAGGCCATCAGTGGCGCTGTGAATTTCTGCTGGGGTCTGAGCAGGTGTGAAGAAGAGAGATACTGTGTTGATAAATCTCAGCTCCAGGGATTGTGTGTGAAGGGCTGGGTATTACAACCCTCTATGCAGACCCAAGAAGTGAACCCCCAGCCGTGCAATAACAATGACGGTCTGTTCCCCTGGAACGGAACGAGCAGGTAGACTGCGATCTCCTTCCTGATGATCAGTGGAGTCTCTCTCTCTTCATCCTCCTTTCTTTCCACCTCATCTTTCAGCTGCATCTGCATCACATGCCATCTTCTCCTGAGAGCTTCTCTGGAGCTGATCCCGTAGGTGGGAACGCAGTCTTCTCCCAGAGCCCTGCTGCCCTTGGGCATGGTCCACAGGATCCTGTAGTGAGTAGACTTGTGCCTCTATCTTGTCCCGGAAGGGTGGCAGCAGGCAGCCCACAACTGGGTGGGCAGTGCGTGCCCCCCTCCCCGCAGCTTGGCTGGCTGCCCAAGGCCTGGCCAGCAGAGAGCACCAGAGTAACGAGTGATTAATGGGCGCCTCATCTAATCTGCTGCCAGGGGAAATGAAGGGCCGGCCATGGGCAGGAGCCCGTCTTGACCTGCTCCAGGTGGGCTGGAATGTGCCCAGCTCAGGATGGGGATTAAAGCTTGAAAGACAAGAGGAAATGAGATGTTAACCCTTTAGGCCTGGTCCCAGAGCCCCAGCAGGGAAAGGGCAGGGGAATCATCTGTGGGCGTCTGATGCAGGGTCCAGTCGACGTCTTGATTTATGGCAGTGACTGGCAGCGTGGTTACCCTAGGGGGTGGTCACGAGCAGTGCCTGTGACATAAGCATGCGGCGTGGACAGGAGAGAGAAGAAGATTAATTTCTCATGACGATGGATAAACGGACAGCGGAGAGGCTGCCCTACCTGCTTCCTTCCTGGAAGCCTTCCGATCATATCAGCAAGTTAGAAATGTGTCATTTTTCAAGCATACTTCCCCCCTTGAAATGTGGAAAGAAGATATGCACATGTGTGGGTAGTGGTACACAGGTGACAGACGGGTCCCCAGGGCCAGCCCCTGGAGTGCTGGCCTAGGACCAGCATGCTGTGGGCCCCCCAGAAAGTTTCTTAAGCACTGTGCTGTGCTTTCGCTGTCCACAAATGGGGGTGATGATAATGCACGCCCTGGGTGAGATTCATGAGGGTGTAGAATGCTTAAAACAGCCTGGGGCCTGCAGCAGGGCCACTTGAATGCTAGCTGTCTTTTCTCGCCTGTCCAGTTGAATTGCACCCACTTCTTCTTTGGGAAGGATGCAAACAGCTCCTCCCCCAGGCTTGCTTGGGTGGATCTCAAACTTGCTCTTGATTGATCTCCCTGGTTTGACCCCTGCCCCTACATGCCTTGAATTCTGGCTCCTCCCGCTGCTGCTGGCTCCCTGGCCTCCTGCTGGCCTTTTGATTACACCACCCTGCCCCCTGCCTCCATGGCAGATGGGCAGATCGCTGGGGGCTGGGGCAGATAGTGACCTCTGCCGGGACCTCTGGTGGCACAGGCCAGTTCTGTACCAGCTCTGCTCACGGGTAGCTTTGCTGTGACCCAGTGGGCCTAAATGCACGGGCCGAGGATAGAGAAGTCTGCAAAATTCGGAGCCCTGGTGACTGTGTGGCCCGGAGCAAAGCCCAGCGGCGCCCATTTCCTGGTTTCTCTATGCTCCCATCTCAGCACCCTTGATCTCGGTATCCTTAGTGGGGCTGGTAAGATTCACCTTTCCTCATGGTTGACAGGAAGATGGGACCCCAGGGTGGGCAAGGAGGCCTTGTGCGACTAAGCAGAGGGCTTATTTATTAGTGGCTACAAGGTGAGCCCCGGGGTAGAGCTGCGGCCTAACTTTTGAAGTGTCACTGCAGGGTGTGTGCTGACAGCAGGGCCTTCAGTGCCATTTACTGTCTATTCCAGAACAACAGGTACCCAGTCTGCTTGACTTTAGTGATGCTTCAAATGAGGCTTTACTCGGCTTGAAGTTCTGAGGCTCATCTGACCAGCTAAGGAGGAGGAGCTGCTGTTTAAGGAGCTCATTTCAGGTGCAGAGCTTTACCTGGGTTAATTCGTGTCATCTCTTCTACAATCCATATGAGCTGGACTTTATTACCTCTATTCTATGGTCCCCAAAGCCAAAGCTCAGAGAAGCTGAGTTCCTTGCACAGGCTCACACAGCAAATAGATAGAGTGATGTCCTCTTTCGTGTCTTTATGAGATATGCTCAAAAATACTGTGAATGCCGCTGCCAAGTATCATCCAGTGGAGAGGCAGATTCATTAGGGTACATCCTCAACCACCTCAGTCACTGGATCTGGCCCTGTGTGACTTCTAGCTCTTCCCCAAAGTTAAAATGACCATGTGTGGTAAACATTTTGAATCAATTCAGGACATCAAGGCAGCTAGGACAGACAGTGCAACTAAAAACACTTACGAAGGAGCACTTCCAGAACTGCTTCTGGAGGTGGCAAGAACGATGGGATAAATCTGTTCAAAGTGAGGGAGAAATTTTTATTCTCTTTTCTCCTTGATATATCCTTATGTTTTAACCTAGCATGTGCACATTGTCTTTTCACCTAATTTGATTGCAACTTGACATTTATTTCCCTTCTGACCTAGTCAGGGCATTTGAAAATTCAGTTCTGAGCTATGTGATTTCCAGGTGAAAAGCAGGAGCTGTTCTCATCCTGCCGCATGCTGCTCCTGGGCTCTGTGGAAAACATGGGGGTGGAGGCCCAAGGTATAGCACCGGAAAGAGAATGGGTGCTTAGTGGCTGTGGCTGACTCTTCCCTTTGCTTTTTAGTTACCGTTCTCTCCGTAGGCACAGGTTGGAGGAACTCCACACCTCCCTCTTAGCCCAGGATGTGAGAGGCGCTGCTGAGGGTGGACTTTCCGAGTTCCACAGAAGGGGATTATGTCCCTGTAGGTTCTCAGAGGCCCTTTGAAGTGGAAGGGTGAGGCAGCCTGCGGTCCTATACAGCCTTGCCTGTGTTCATTCCCAGTCTCCCAGCCCCACGAGGCATCAGGCAGAGCACCATGCATTGCCACTGGTGTGGCCTGTG